CTTTGACACAACCCCACACTGTTTCCTAAAAACTGACCTTCAGATCTCTTTCCAACAATTAGCCACATGCATAACCCATGACTTTATCTGAGCATGTTTTGGGCTGTTTTTATTGACAACCTACATGGCCTCGCTAGGCATCCACCTTTACGTGTATTTAGTGGCTTTGTGGGGCCAGGTACAGTGGCTCATGGCTGTAATCCCAGCACTTTGGGAGGCTGAGGCAGGTAGATTGCTTGAGCCCAGGAGTTTGAGACCAGCCTGGGCAATGTGGGAAACCCTATCTATTAAAAAAAAAAAAAAATTAGCTGGGTGTGGTGGTGCATGCTTGCAGTCCCAGCTACTTAGGATGCTGAGGTAGGGGGATTGCTTAAGCCCAGGAGGTCAAGGCAGCAGTAAGCCATGACATGCCATTGCACTCCAGCCTGGGTGACAGAGAGAAACCCTGTCTCAAAGAAAAAAAAAAAAAAAAAAAGGCTTAGAGTGACTATCCCAAGGCATTTGTTTTGAGTCCTGAAGTAACGTTAGAAGTCATCCTCATAGCCTTTCCAATGGAGTAACACTTTTTGTGTGCTTTGAAATTAAAAAGTGGAAAATATTTCTCTCAGGCTGTGAGAGTCTCTGTAAATACACATTTGAACAAGTTTTAAGCTGTTATACCTCAATAATAAAATGTTTCCTGGTTACTTATTAAGTTTTAAATTTCAATTACTAGATTTTCATTTCTGAAAGTTCAATTTTATATTTTTCAAATCTGTTGCATATGTTTTTTATAATTTACTGCACCCTGGGTTTAAGATTGTCTTTTATTTCTTTAAACTCTGTAAGTATAATTATTGAGAATTTGATCATTTCTGTATTTGGGTCTCTGCAAGTCTGTTTCTGCTGCCCTGTTTCTTTGATTATTTATTTATTTATTTTTACTGTGAATTGCTGCTCAGATAATTATTTATTAGGTTTCTTAAGATCTAGGATAAAATCCAGAGAGGACATGTGTTTGTTTCTGCCAGGTGAGTAAATATACTACATATCCGGAATGACTACACTAAATTTACAGCTTGAGGTTTGTTTTTTTTTTTCCTGTTTTTCCACTCAATTAGTGGGAATTTGGCTCAAAATCTAAATGGTGATAAGCAGATGGATATCATTTCATCAATCTTAAATTTATTTCAGCAATATAAAATTAATCAGCAGTATTAAATTTATTTCTTCTACTTTTCTCAGTGCCAAGACAATTTTCTTTTTAGCCTTCTGGGAGTGGAAATATTGAACCGATTTACATTTATTTCAACCTTAGATGAATAGTTAGCCCTTTGGGGTTAGAAGGTTTTGGTTTTATAGGCATTGGTCCTTTATTAGACTCCTTACATCAGGATGAACCAGGATCTGACTTCTGTTCTTGCCCTCTGAGACATTAATACCCAAAGCACAAGATCAATCAGTTAAGATGTCCTCAAGACAAAAGTGAATTCAATCCTGCTTACCTTTCCAGATTTCTGCTTTCCTTTAAATTATGATTTGCTGATTCCACATTATCTTGTGAGATTTTTGATGCTTTCAAAAATATTTTTAAAAATGTTTTATTATCTTTTGTTGTTTATGTTAGGCTGTTTGGTTCTGAATTATTAGCCTGCTGTATTGACAGAAATCAAAGTTGTCCCTTTAAGACATAAATAAGTTTATGTCATTTATTTTAAAAAATTCTACTAGACTTTGAATTTATTAATTTGGAGAGAATTTATATCCTTATATGTTCACCTTATCCAAGAGCCTAGAATATGTATCTACACATTCAAAATATTTTCTAGATTTTTTAATAGAGTTTGAACGTTTTCTCCATGGAGGTCTTGTGTACTCTTGGTTAATATATTTATTTATTGGATGCTGTATAGATTTTCTTGCTATTGTGAGCACTATCTTCTCTTTGATTCAAATTCATAGTTGTGATTTTTATTAAATAGTATAATTTAGCTTGTATCAGACAACATTGTTGGGTACCCTAATGTTATATCTCTCGGTTCTATTTTTTTTTATTTTCAAGTAGATGGTTATGTAATCTACAAACAATAATAGCTCTGTTTCTTCCCTTATAATCCTTACACTTCCTTTTATTTTTCTTTTGTTTTTTGAGACACGGTCTCTCTTTGTTGCCCAAACTGGAGTACAGTGGTGCAGTCACAGCTCACTGCAGCCTTGACCTTCTGGGATCAAGTGCTCCTCCCATCTCAGCTTCCCAAGTAGCTAAGATTATAAGAATGTGCCACCATGCTGGCTAATTTTTTATAATTTTAGTAGAGATGGAATTTTGCCTTGTTGCCCAGACTGGTGTGGAACTCCTAGCCTTAAGCAATTTGCCCACTTTAGTCTCCCAAAGTGCTGGGGTTACAGGTGTCAGCCACTGTGCCCAGCTTATTTCTTTTTCCTATCTTATAGCATTGGTCAGGACTTCCAATCCTATGTTAAACAATAGTCACAGTAAAATTGAGAGTCTTTGTCTTATTCCCAAACCCAAAGGAAATACCCCCAACATTTTGTGAAGCTCTAGTTCCTACATTTGATCCCTTTTTCCATAAACTAGATAGAGTGGTTTCTGCTACCTGAAAAAAGCCTGTTTGATACCAAAGGAATACAGAATGAGAATTTTTCTGTGACTATAGAATCAGCATAGAAGGACTCAAAGATAAAAACAACAAAGCACCAAGTACCCCCACATTCTAAAAATAGCTGCAAATACCTGAAGCCAAATATCCCAACCAAAGCTTGTTTGTGGCTCCTGAAAGAGTTTACCTACCCCTAACCATCACCCTTGTATTCCCAATTCATGTCTCTAATAATTAAGCAGAAAGACTGGGGAAGAGAAGAGAATGAATTATCAAAATGCAGTATTTATTGTGAGGAGCAATTCTTCTCCTTCCCAAGCCAAGTGAAGGAAGAGGCTCAAGATAATCACATAAAGATTGGGAGTGCTTATGCAAAGGGAAATTGGTTGAGATAACTGTCTAGGCAGCAGGCCTGTTGTTAAACCTGTGCCTCTCTAGGAAGGGGAGAAAAAACTTATTGAAGGGGGGTGACAAAGCAAAGAGAGGATGATAGTGGGCAATCAATGCTCCTGTCCTTTGGAAAGAATGGGTAAATTGCTTACTCCAGGAAAAAGCCAAGCTTCAACCATCTTGCCAGGGCCTCTCCCAAGGGGAGGACACACTAAGTGAGGGGATCCCAGTAGCTGAAGGCTGAGAGTGACCTACTTGGAGCAAGAACAGGGGCAAAGTGTAAAAGAGATTATGTTGGATCTTCCACTGGCATCCCCAGGAGAGGGCCAACTTAATATCCAGTTGGTCTTAGCCACAGAACAAGCAATGAAAGATCGTAATCACATGTCCATTAGCAAAAAACTAAGTCCTTTCCAGTCTGTCCTGTTGCAATTATGAAAAAGCTAAAACCATAAAGTGTATCAGATCTTATTTTTTCCATAGCCTCATGTAATTTTATGTCTTAGTCCCCACACATTGATTGGAAGCACAAATCAATACACAAGGCAATTCCAAAGCCCCCTCCCAATCCCGGAAGTTTTTTCTAAATTCCAGGAGGGAGAGCTAAAGCATCATGGGAGAGGCAGCTGTCTTTGATATCACCATCTAAACTTCGATCTTCATTGGAATCAAATGACTACTTATTTTATTTTTCCTGACAGCAAGACCTTTTTAAGTCTATCAGTTTTTTCTCTGCTGACCCCCATACCCCTCTGGGCACATGGAAGTTTGTTTCTGTTCCAAGTTCAAGTGCAAGTGTGATGCCATCCCCAGTAAATTACACTAGCATTTCTTCTCTATTTTTTCATCAGGCTGAGCACAGAGAATCCCTAGGGCTTTGTGACTTTCCCAGGTCCTCCCAGTGAAAGGACACATTAGTCTCTCAGCAATCAGATCACCCAAATTTCCTGAGGGGTTTTATCCCCCAGCCTTTCTAACTTGGCCTGAGAAGACAGAGCAGGATCAATTCTCAGGAACCTACCAGCATCTAAATTATCTTTGTCTTTTACTATCTCTCTTTATCTCCCCTAGTCTGGTAAACATTGACTAATATAGTAAGTGTGATGGTTAGGGATTAAAACAAAGACCATTATATTCTTCAAAACTGACTCTACTTATTTTCTTAAATTACATCTTTAATTTCCTTTTTTCTGTGTTCTCTTGATAGCTAGGCTTTTGAAATTTAAAATCTAATAATTGACTATAGCATTCTGCTGATTGTTTATTTCTGTTTGAAACAATGAAAACTACAAAACCTTAAAGTCAAAATCACAATGGGTTACAAGCTGTGAAAAGGAGAATTTTACCCTGCAAAACTTTTCAGCAAACATACATATAACTGAGAAATGTTCTTTAGGATATAAAGTGGTCTCCCCAAATCCACATCCCCAAAAGAGAAAAACCAACCAACCAACCACTCGTGAATAAAAGGCACAAAAAGGGAAGAGAGATGCTTGGGTGCTCTGACTTTCATTAATGGTTTGTCTGCTAAAGGTTATACTGGTTTTGGACCAAAAAAGAGACACTTCTCTTCATTCTCATCAAATTAAGTTTAGGGTTGGTCTTTAAGACAGGACTTTAGGCCAGAACCATTCTACTCATTTCAGATTCCTTAGGGCCAAGTTTACTGGAGGTTGCTTAATAAGTGTTTATTGAATTAATCAGAAGAGTAAGCTAAAAGCAGTCAAAGATAACTGCCTTAAGGCTTCATCTAAGATTCAGAGTCCAGTAGGTTAGCAAAACAGTTGTCCCTCCATAGCAATGAGGATTGATTCCAGGACTCTGATGGATACCAACATCCACGGATGCTCAAGTCCCTGATATAAAATGGCATAGTATTTGCATATAATCTATGTACATTCCCCTATGTAGGTAATCTCTAGATCACTTATAACTAATATCATGTAATTATGTAAATATGTGTTATACTGTGTTGTTCAGGAAATAATGACCAAAAAAAGTCTGTACATGTTCAGTACAGATACAACCATCCATTTTTTTTCCAAATATTTTCCATCTCTCATTGGTTGAATCCATGGACATAGAATTTGCAGTTATAGAGGGCCAACTATACTTCAGATACACATATCAATACAAATAAGGACCTATTGCAGATGAACAGATAAGCCCTGCCTGCCCTAAGGTAGCTTCTGAGGCCCAACTGTCAGATTTCGCAGAACCTGATTTCCTATGTGTCTGTACCCTTAGGGAATCCAAGCTCCAAGGGCTTTGGGCAGTCTCATGATGCTGATTCTTGCTTTATCTGCAGACTAGAACACTTAATTAACAGTCTGTGCCCAGCACAACTCGGGGGAGAAACGGGTTGTAAATACTTGAACATTAGCTTTTCTCTTGGATTAGACTGTAGGAGTCCCAGAACATCAAAACTGTAGGAGGTAACTTGGACCCAGTTTCCAAGGGCTTCTAGGTGAGTGGGAGACCTCACTGGACATAGTCCACATGTTTTATTGTAGAAAGAATATTCGGGGTACTAACAAAGAGCTGCAAAGTTTTGCTTCTCGTCGAACTGTCAGTAACCTGACTTGCAATTTGGTGGCTATCATAGAATCTCTGTCTGCTCCTTCTATCCATAAGAAAAGCTACACACTGGTCGGTGTTTGCAATTTATTTACAGTTCCACTTATCATATAATTATCAGTTTACTTTTGCCAAACATGTAGACTTTTTTTTGACTATCTAGAGTCTAGAGCTCACAATACAGAGTTTTGTGAAATACAGTGCCTATGAGAATTTTCCCGTGGTACATGGAAGCCACAGAGGTGCCCTGAAGCACAGAGCCATTGTTGGCATACACGGTGCTCACCCTGGGCTTCTCAGTCATAATATTCTGGATGCGAAGTACCTGTCAAGAAAAGATCGTTCATTAGTATACTATGTGAGCAAATGGCTGTTTCATGATGTTGTCCTTCCCAAACATTTCAAGATGAATCTATTTTTCAGAAATCAGAAGCTAAAAATCTGTATATCTACAATAAATTGTTCTTTTTCTGATGAAAATACTAATGTCATAAGGTTATCCATGCACCAAAGTGAACTGGCTTTCTGACATTAGCCAAATTCCTCAGGGATGACTTACACAATTTTGACAGTGCAGCCATCCCTTACAGAAGGAGGTAAGACCCAGTGGATGCTGTTATTTAGTTCTCAAGTGGATAGTGGTCCTCCCTCTGTGGGAAGTATCTTGCCTTTGAGATTACAGTATGGGGAAGAGAAACAGGACAAAATAATGAAGAAACACCCAGTTATCCAGCCAACTCAACCTGGTAACTGGTGAGACAGCAGTCATCACAGCTGGAGCCCCTTCACATCTACAAAGTGGCTATAAAGCGTAAATAATGTAAACTACTTTGGAATTCCGTCTGACATATCACTGCCTAGTACTGTTATTGATCCCAGGATTAACACACTTAATTTTGCTAATCTGTATATATTTAAGCACTCAGGCTTTCCAATAGCCTGGATGAAGTTCACACAAATAAAATATGATAGGAATTAAAGGAAAACAATTAGAAATTTATGAGTCATGAGTCTACATTGATACCTCGTATTAGAATAGAGTTTTTTTTTTGTTTTTATCTTAAAGGAAATCCTTCATCTCAGGTTTGTTAAACAAAAATACTTAAGCTTTGATTTCATGTAAGAAAGACGAGATTCAACTGGAAGTAAAAGGTGTCACTAATTGTGAAGAAAAGTAAGTCTTATCTAAAATTTTAAAAATAATTCAACTTGAAAATAGAGATATGAAAAAGATCCTAAACAATTTTCCAATTTTCCTATGTATCATATTTCATTTCCTTAAAACAGGCATTGTGGTTGGGCTCCTGAAGGAAAGTTTTGTCTATCATTTTTAGGGGGTACATATCTGAGGCAAGGATTGCTTCCTAGTTTAGGGTAACAATTCTTCAGGTTCTAGACTCAGGCTGGACTTTTGTTTCTTTTTACATTTCTTGTGTTCTTTTTAGGAAGCTGTGACTAATACATTAATAAAAATAAAAAAAATCGCATTTTTACTGAAAAACAGCAATATTGGAAGTAGAATAACTGTATGTCCTAATTTACCCACTAGACCAATTACTGGGTTTGAATTTGAATTTCAGTTTCCCAAATCCCCAAATGTGGATTCACACATTTTATTTTTCCAAACTGTACTATCTCAATGAGGCCTACCCTGATCTCTGACTTTAGTAGCAGGACCTGCTCATCCTTCTGCATACAGCAATCCTGATCCCCTTTATGCTGTTGAGCTTTTTTTTCATCCTTCTGCATACAGCAATCCTGATCCCCTTTATTCTGTTGAGCTTTTTTTTCCCATAGAACTTGCCATCTTCAAACTTACTTTTTAATTTTTACTTATTTTTTATACTTATTATTCATTGTTTGTCTCCCTTTCTTAAGATCAAGGATCCGTGTATATTTTTTCTGATATATCCTAAGCAAAAGAACAACGTCTGACACAACACAGATACTCAATAAATTTTTATGAATAAATCTCTGAGTATGTGTGCCTAGAATTTATAGCTCTATATAAATTCACTAAAAGTTTTTAAATTGTTAACCTTAGTGCCACAGAAAATGCAGTATCTTATAATGTTGTTTTTAATGTAGAAAATGCAATGGCTTACGCTATTGTTTTAGAAGATATATTTTTAAATAACACAAACAACATCTTTAAAATAAGACAATTTTCAATACCATCATATATGTTAGAACCTGCAGGCAAAATCTCATTTTATTTTGAGATGACAGTTATTTAAATCCTTTTATCTGAGCTTCATGTTGGACAGTGTAAAAGAAGATGGTCCCATATATAACTCTCTTTGTCTAACTGCAAGACCTGCTCAGAGCCTCTCTCCTGATTGGAAATATGATATGGCAATCTGGGTCAATACGAATAATTGAGCTTATGTTTTTCCTTTATTCCTAATAGAAAGAATTATTGAAGAGTTAATGGTGGCCTAAAAGAATTAATGAATATTATCTCCCTGCCTGTCAAAACCTTTACTCTTCTCATACATAGAATTTCTTTAGTTCTATAACACCAAATGTGATCTGCTTAAATTCTGCCAAATCTTCCCAGTGAATTTGTTCTTGCAGCTTTGCCTGTGAGCTCAGAGAGGTATAGGAACTTACTTCTGATCCTGGAGGGTCATCAGCGTTATATAACAGCAGCTTCATGAGATTAGGATGGCATCCTGCCAAAATGTCTCCCGTAGCAGGATCGACAGACAGGTTATCCACTAAGGTGCCCAAGTGTATCACCTGCCAACAAAGAGGGAGTAGTAAAGACATTGTCTCAACCATTCTTCGCTTTTGCCCCTACTCATCCCCACAACCCCTACAGTTCCTTCTGATACCTAAAATTGGTATTTTTAAAGGGCTTTGCTTCTGTATTTTAGAAGCGCATGCATAATCTCACTGACATTGCTCTCGAATAGCCATGTTTTCCTCATTCAAGGAGCACATTCCTGGGTCAAGTATGGGACTCAGGTAAGAGGTCAAGTTGTGTGGGCCAGCCAGGGTACTTTTACCTTCAGTTGAGTTAAATCCCAGTTATTGTGTTTTTCCATTACGTGAATGTTCTTAGCTGTGACATCAGCTACATAGACATACCTTTGAAGTAAATGACATTTACACATAAGCAACTGGTAATGAGAGACAACACTCACTTTTATTTTGGAGAAGAGGTATAAAAATTCACACTCCTTCAAAGTACCACTGCAATCCTTGTCTAAACTCAATCCTTTAAGTAAAAGAAGATAATGGAGTCTTATTTTTAATATTCTTTAAGTGCTTTAAACAGGTTTTAAATATGAGTTATGACTATAATGAAACTGGTGTTTCTAGACGACATATATAGTAGGCTCATTCTTATTACTTTGAAGTCACAACTTTTTCCTTAAATTGAATGAAGATAAATGGATCTCTTATAAGGCCAAAAGTGTATATACTTCTAAAATCTAGCTCTTGAAAATAAATGACCATATGACCATAAAGTTCAATCACAATATTTTAAAAGAGGAAGGACACCGAGAGGTGTTTTCTATAGGGATCATTTCTGTTCATTATCTCAAATTTACATGTTAATATTCAAGGTACTCCTCTTTATTTAAAAAAAAAAAAACCTTCAATTTTTAAACACTTTTAAAAAGTGTTTTCTCATAAAATTTCATGCTTTTAAAATAGGATTTTCTCATTGAATGGTCTGCTGTTGTAAATCAATAAGTCTCAAACTTATACAATCCCTATGTCCAATCCAAGGTAGACTTCCCTCTCTCCTAAGAGCTTTTGTGTAACTGAACTTAGCATAAGTGGTTAAATACTTTCTAGCCTCATAAGGGGCAGACGTATTGCTCATTTATCTTCCTATATAGTGTGTTAAGAAAGTGTGTTTCAAGAGTTATGTAAAAATTTGGAATGAGGTCCTTATATCCTTAAGTCCATGTCTCTCCTTTAACTGGGAAGAAACTGAAATCCAAGGAAACAAATAGTTTGCTTAGGATCACAGATTTAGTGTGAATCGTGGCCATGACTGATCCCTCCAAACATATATTCACTTGTAAGCCTAAGGAAGTAATTACCTCCTAAGGAAAGAAGTCCACCAAAATGTCAAGAGCAAAGGACAGAAAAATGTATAAAAGAGCTTACTTTCGGTCTGCTGAGATTGTGATCCCATTGGCAGAAGAAAATCCTGTGGCCACCACTTTAACTTCTCTTGGGCTGTAGAAAAGAACATAAGTCCAGCGAAGACCCAAGATCATCTCAAAAAGTGACAGGAAGGGGTTGGTAAAATAGTGGTCTCTGGTGGCATAGAACTGTTCTGGTCCAAAAACCACAATATCATTCACACTAAAGTGAAAGAAAGGTGGAAAGAGAGATCTATGAGGTATTTATTCTTTATCCTTGTCAAAATCACTCATCTCTACATAGACCAATATGTTCATCAATATTGAAAGAGGTAAAAAAATACATATATATTGAAAGAGGACACATAAACTAGTATAGATTAAGGAATTCCACAGAAACTCATGATTCTGCATTGCCCTAATGAGTTTTCTTTAGCCATTTGTCATTTTTTACTCTTCCCTTTCACAGAAGTCAGTGAAAATACATTAACAAATAAACCTCAAACTCCAAAATCTGTTTACTTGTAAATGTTGATCATGGTTATCTGTGGTAGTGGTAGTGTAGTTCACTGATAACTATGGTTATCCTCCTTCAGGAATTACACTTCCTAATCCCCTTGCAGTTAGGCACAGCCATATGACTTGCTTTGGCCAATGAAATGAAATAAAATGAGGTGAGTGGCTTGTGGATGGAAGATTTTAAGAACCAGTGCTTGCTTCACCATGTTTCCCTCATGTTTCCACAGTAATGAGCAACTTTTCTGATGATAGAGACTGTTGTTCCCCTAGGGCTCTGAATGAGGATAATATAAAACTGACTTCCTACATCACCTTTTGTTTTCTCACTCATGCTGGTTACATAGCATGAGTAAGAAAACAAAACAAACCTTGGCAGTTGTGAGCCACCAAGATGTTAGGGTTTTGCTGTCCTGTTATCATTGCATAACCCAGTTCATCTGGATCTTTATATTTTCTCTGAGTAGATGGGATTACAGGTGATATTCTTTCTTACGTTCCTTAATACCATTAACATTTTTAAATGGAGCAAGTCTTATTCTTACAACCAGTAAGAACAATAAAGTCATTTTTATTTTCGAAAAGAAAAAAAGTGACTTGAAAAAATAATGCATTAAAAATGCACAATATTTTTAGATTTAATTTTAGGAGAGGAAAATTTGGATGAATCAGGAAATACTTTGAGGTTGTGACATACAATGACTTTCCCAAGGTCACTGGACTACTCACCTGTTGTACATCTGCTTAAACATTCCTTACTCCAAAAAGTATTGTCTGATACCATAAATTAGGTTAAACTGCCTCACAATTTGCTTTTGTAGCTCTCTGTTCTTCCCCCTTATAAGTGCTTATCAATGTGTGTGCCAGGGTATCCTCAGGCTCCTCTTTAGATCCTCGTAGCCTCACCTACCTTGTTCCAGCTGCTGTTATCTCAAACAGTTCTGCACAGGTCTGAAGTACTTCCCACAGGGGCAGCCTAGCAGTGCCTCAGCTTATGCCTGCTGTGGGCCTCTTGCCTCCCACTTCCAGACTTCCATGTTGACATTGAGGCATAGGATACCACAAAACTTAACTTGCACATGCACAACAACAAAGAATGTGGGAAAGTGAAGGCTTTTTGAGACAAACCTTTGACTAATAGGAGATGGGGCTTATGGATAAGCCCTTCTCCCTTTCTCTCCCTGACAAGATTGTCCTCAGATGCAGCTTATGTTGATTAGTAGAGGATAAGCCCATGACTTCAAGCAGTTAATTGCACTTAGCAGTGGCTGGCTTAATAATGACTTCCCTCACTGTATGTGTTTACTGGGGCTGGCATAGCAAAGAATCACAAACTCAGTGGCTTAAAACACCAGAAAGGTATTGCCTCACAGTTTTGGAGCCCAGGAATCCAAAACCATGTTGTTAGTAGGGCCATGTTCTTTCTGAAGTTTCTAGGGAAGGATCCTTCCTTGCCTCTTCCAGCAAGGCATTACAGTAGTCCCAGGCATTCTTTGGCTTGTAAATATATCACTCCAATGTCAGTATCCATCTTCACATGGCAGCCCCTCTGTATATCTGCCTGTCTTCTTGAAAGGATACAAGTTTTACTGCATTAACGGTTCTCTACTTCAGTATAACTTTACTTATTACACCTGCAGTAATTCAATTTCCAATTAGTGTCATTATTCGGAGTGAGGAGGTGACGGCTGGGATTTAAACATATCTTTTGGTGGGGAGGGGAGGTGGGCACAAAATTCAACCCAAAACATTCTCCCTTCCTTGCCTCACACTGGTTCCTCAAGTCTGCTTCTCGGGACTGTACTCCCTAATGAAGTGGCCACATATCAGGTGTGCCTTCAGACTGCACTTTCTTGGAGACTCTTCCTGTGAGATCCTACAGGATGCAATTGATCCTCACAATCCACCAGTTAGGTAAACCAGGCAAATGAGAATCTCCATTTTGCTGAATAAATTGAGGCACCAGTTAAGTGACTTGTCCACAGTTTCCCAGAAACCCTGTGGAAGTCCTGTTCTCCAGTATGGCCTGAGAACCCAGCACAGTGCGTTAGGAGCAGAGTCCAATAACTTGAACACCTCTTACTTCTACCCTCTGCATTTGTTTCCCTCATATTCTGTGGGGAGAAATTAATATATGATGTTGAGAAAGAGAGAAGATGAACTTTCTTTTCTTTTCCTATTCATCTATTCTATGGAACAGTTTACTGTTTTGGAGCCAGTTTTTTAGTGTTAAGCCCATTTGATGAAAGATGAATTCTTTATTGTTTGCTACAGCCTTCAGACAGGTAGCCTCTCCACTGAAAAGCTTGTTATTTTAATGAATGCAGCAAGAAAGATGTTCATCATTGCAATTGAGAGCTCAGCTTTGAATTCAGATGGATCTAGGTTTACACCCTGTTTCTGCCACTTATAAATTGTGTGACTTGGGCAAGTTACCTAACCCAAACCTTCTCTAAGTCTTAGCTTACTCATGCCTATTATTAAAGGCTTTATGAGAATTAAGTTAAATTAAGTATTCTGGCATAGTGCCTGCCACATAATCAATTTAACAAATGTAATTTTTATAAGTGCCCACGGGCTTTTAAGAAAATTCTACTTTAAAGCTGTAATGAAACAAAGAAGTGACCCAACTGGAGGTTGGTTATAACACCCAGTGGGTGAGGTTCACAGAACACAACCTATCAGGACAACCAAAAAAGGATGTAGGTGTTTAAACAGAGACCCACAGTAGGTATTGAGGTGCTGTGGTAAAGAGGATGGAATTAGAGCTGCGAATCTAATTGAGCACCTTTATAGGATTAAAATGCTTTCAAAATGTTGGAAAATATAGGCATGTTCAATACCTAACACAGCAATTTCTAGTAAGGTGCTGAGAAGTGTCACCATGGGAATCATTAGAAAGCTTTAGAAAAAAATCTACAAAACAAAAGTTTAAGAAAACCTGCTGAACCAAAGAAAACAAAGCACACAGCAGAGGTGCAAAATAAATAGAACTATACAATACTTTGATTCCATACCTTTTGAGAAGTTCGTGTTTTAAAGTTTTCAGGTATACCAGAGAACGTTGTTGTTCCTCAAATTTAAATATCTCCACAGTGGACTTCATGTGGGGATGATTCACAATATAAAGATACACAGTTTGGTCTACGTGGAAAAAAGGTATAATTTCCAAGAAAGTTACCTCTATCACAACTAATATTAGACTTGTTTTAAAAACTTGCTCACTTCCAAAAGTTTTCTTTGTACATCTTAAGTTTTACCCCCACAGTCTACCTGATAGGTAAGTCAGACAAATGCAGAATCCACATTTAATTGAGGAAATTGAAGCTCAGAAGGTGAATGACCCATCAGCAAATTCATCACCACAAAGTGGCAGAGCCAAGACTTTTTGTGATGATCTCTTCAGCCTTATCTGCATATCCTGTCTAAGAGGAGGCTACAGAACTATAAAGGATGCATAAACAGGAATGTGGTTTCCCCAGATGGCCCTTCAACAAGAGAAGTGGGTACAAGCAAACAAAAATTTGCTGAGATGTTCTGTGTGTGCGATAATTATCTACATTGCAACAAAAGCTCAATAAATGTCAGGGCAATGTAAATTACCTTAAAATAAGCAACATTTCCCAGCTAGACAATGAACTTCTGACACAAGTCAACATAACAATATTTAGTGAGCCCAGTGGACATGGCACATAAATATGAATGCAAGACAAAACAAACAAATTCCAGGTAGTACCCAACTCAGAAATGTCACCTACCCATTTCAATTGGAATGTGAAGTGCTTTGAACAGGACTGAGGATAATAATTTGGCCTCTGAGAGTGCTGTCTTCTGACTTATTGGGAGTTCTAGGTTTGATGAGCTCTGGAGTTTTAAAGGGTCTGGCCCTATCCTCCCACTGAAGGACTTGCTCTGTATTCATCTTCCCTATTCCTTTCCTGGATGTAGTTTTCAAGCACCTGGTGGAACAAGCTCAAAACCTGAGATGCAAAGCTTATAACTAGGACCTCTTAAACACACTGGGCACTTTCATGCAAACTAAGCAAAGGTGTTCACTCACAGATGAAATCTTCCTTCTGGTCTGATTCAGCTCTGTTCCAAGGCTCAGGGCTTAGCAAGCAGAACATGGGTTGGATTTCAGTCCCAACACGGCCCTTCAGTCTTTTGCTAGACACAATAGTGAACAATCATGTGCTGTCCTGGTTTTATTTCTTCTAGTACATCTACTAAATCTTATTTGCAAAGAAAGATATACTTAGTGAGAATACTTTTGGTTTCCGTCTTCTCATTCCATCTCTATCTCTATGTGTAATATTTTGGCTTTATGAATTAAATATATAATTAAGGAAGATAAGAAACAAGATAAGCTGTCAATCATAATATACTCAACTTCTGGAAGCCTGATTATATGACTGTTATTCTGTTTGAGATTGTGTCCCATCTCAAAAAAAAAAAAAAAAAAGAAGTCCAAAACCCACCTCTACCTCTAATACTATCCCATGCAATGAAATAGTTGCAGCTAAATCTGATCACTTATTATACCATCTCCAATAAAGAATCTTATGTCTTATACAGTGTGAGGCAAAAAAGTTGTGGTTTTAAAATTATTTAAATAGAGTCCTAAGCTCACCTTAGTAACAGACATAGGTTTAGAAGTAAGACCTCCTCAGTCTGAGTTCTGGATCAGCCATGTACGAACTGCAGAAGTGAAGCCACACTTCACTGGCATTCCTCTAAACTTCATTGTATCCCTCTATAAAGTTGAGTATTACTATGTGTTCTGCCTGTCCTATAGAGTTCATTTATTTATTCATTTAATATGTGTTTATAGAGTACCTACTGTGCATCAGATACTGTTCTAGACTCTTGGAATCTGCAACGGACAAGTCACATATGCTTTTATGGCGATTATATTTGAGAGAGGAAAGCAAGGAGGAAAAATTATTAAATAATCTGAAAACAAAGAATACTAGAGTGGGGAGACATGTTCTTCACCGAATGTCACTCATTTGAAGAGCAACAGTTAAGTTTAAACCTGAAGATGAGAAGGAACTTGCTCTAGAGCAAGTGCAAGAGAGGCAAAGAAAATTGGTATCCTTTAACATTAAAAAAAAATTAGGTACCACTGTAGGCTGGGTTCGGTGGCTCATGCCTGTAATCCTAGCACTTTGGGAGGCCGATGGGGGTGGATCACCTGAGGTCAGGTTTTCAAGATCAGCCCAGCGAACATGGTGAAACCCCATCTCTACTCAAAACACAAAAAATTACCTGGGCATGGTGGCATGTGCCTGTAATCCCAGGTACTTGGGAGGCTAAGGCAGGAGAATCACTTGAACCCAAGAGGTGAAGGTTGCAGTGAGCCAAGATCATGCACTCCAGCCTGCATGACAAGAGTGAACTGTTGTCTCAAAAAAAAAAAAAAAAAAAAAAAGTTACCACTTTAATGAATGATTTTAAAAAAGAAGTACATTGAGAAGAAAAATAAAAAGGTATACACCTGGAACAAGATGGTGGAAAGGCTTCCCTGAGAAGATGATATTTAGGCTGAGGCCTCAATGATGTGAAAGAGTGAGCCAGAAGTAGCTGAAGGACATTCCAGGCAGAGGGAACAGCAGATGCTAAGATCCTGAGGCATGAGACACTCCATAGAATGAAAAGAAATCTAGAGTGGCTGGCCCAGAGAGTCTGGGGAAGAATGGTTTCCAGTGAAACTGGAGAGCATACAGATGCCAGAATGTAAAGGGGAAGCACCCAGGAACCCAGGCCATTCTGGAGATTTAGGGTTTATCCTCAGAGTGATGGAACAATATGGAAAATTTGATGAAAGGAGTGACATAATCAGATTTGTATAAAAAGCAATCCTTACTATGAAAATGAATTGAGGTGTTATGAGAAGGAAGGTACAGTTGGTGGCCCATGCAAAATTAAGGAAGTCATTTTGGGGGCTTGGACTGGGATGGTGGCAGCAACGATGGGGAGAGGTGGACAGATATTTCAGATTGGAGAGATATTGGGGAGATACATTGAAGAAAACTTTATAATGAATTGATTGAATGGGCTGGGGAGAAGAAATGTCAAGGTTGGGCCCAGAATTTTATTTTGAGAAATAAAGACATCATATGAAAATACTTTGTATACTATAAACCAATGAAAAATTGTTAGATTCAATTATCTGTGAAAGCAGAGCTTGCTAAGCAAATAAAAAATATATATAAGATTTCATGGAAATATTTAACCTACTGACTAGAAGAGTATTCAAGCATTTTAAGGGATACTTGTTAATTTAAAGATAAATCTTTGTTGGTATAGACCAAAGGAATTTATCAAAGGTCTGTTGGATAAGTGTATAGAAATAATTACTAATCATTCTTTTTTTATTCATCAAAGTCATTCGCAGCAAATCTGTACTTTACAATACAATCATAACTCCAGTAAGTATTTGGAAGAATTAAAACAACGTTTCTTTAAAAATCCCAAATTCCAGCACTTCAATTTGGCCCTCTTTTTATGTGGTTACTGTTAGTGAGGTTTCCCTGTTCTTATTTTTCTTCATGCTATCTAGACCCACAAATATTTTTAAATTAAATGCTTGAAATTATGAACTGAGAATCAGTCAAAAATAATATTGGAAATTATTGTTTTTAAAGCATATATGATATATTAATAACTGTTATGTTTTTATAACATCTTTTCTGAGATGTAATTTACATACCTTTGAATTCAGTCTTTTAAAATGTAAACTTCAGTGGATTTTAGTATATTCACAGAGTTGTGCAACCATAACCACTATCTAGTTCCAGAACATTTTCATCACCCAAAAAGAAGTCACCTACTCATTAGCTGTCACTCCTCCTTCCCCATTCACCCGGCTCCTGCCAAAAATTTTTCTGTCTGTGGGAATACACTTATTCTGGACACTTAATATAAATGGAATCACACAATATGTGACTTTTAGTGACTAAATTCTTTGAGTTGGCATAATATTTACAAGCTTCATCCATACTATAGTATGCATGATTAGTTCATTTCTTTTTATTGTCAAATAGTGTTCTATTGTATAAATATCACATTTTGTTTATGAATTCATCAGTTGATAGGCATTTGTGTTATTTCTACCTCTGTTATTAGGAGTAATGTTGCTATAAACATTTGTGTACAAGTTTGTGCATGGACATGTTTTCAATTCTCTTGAACATACACCAAGGTGCAGAGTTGGTGGACTATATAGTAACTCTATGTTTAACATGTTGAGGAAATGCAAAACTGCTTTCCAAAGTGGATACGTTATTTCACAATTTCACTGACAAAGTATGAGGGCTCCAATTTTTCCACATCCTTGCCAATATTTGTTATTGTCTGTCTTTTTAATTATCACAATCCTAGTGGATATGAAATGTTATCTCATTCTGATTTTGATTTCTATTTTCCTAATGGCTAAGAATGATGAACATCTTTCGTGTGCTTACTGGTTATTTGTGTATCTTAGGAGAAATATCTATCTAGATAGATACTTTGTCCATTTTTAAATTGTATTATGTGTGTTTTGTTGTTCAGTTGTAAGAATTATTTATATAGTCTGAATACAAGTCTCTCATCAAATATATGATTTACAAGTATTATCTCTCATTCTTTGGGTTGAAAAGCATAAAAGCTTTCAGTTTTGATGAATCTAATTTGTTTTATTCCCTTCTGTTATGTTTTTTAACATCTCACAGTTGTCTTTAGTGAAAACTAAACTAAAGGGCCTTTAGTTCATATGTTAGATTTCTGATAACAGTATTCGAACAGGTCGTGACAGTCAAACAAGAAGAAAAGTAGATAGAAGGAAGAGGAGGAGACCACATAGGGCCAAAAATACTAGCGTTTCTTCTTTAATGCAATATTTACAATGTTTTATACCAATTTATCATTTAACAAAAATACATCTGTATGGTAAAATAGCATCCTCTCTCTTCCTGTAACATAAATGTTGAGGGGTTGGAGATAAATGGTTTCTATTTCCCTCATTTCCCCCTTATGCCTAAGCATACAGGCTTTACCTTTGTCAATGAAGATACTGATTCCATGTGGATTAAATAATTCTTTGTCAAATCCACCACTGATTTCTAGTGCTTGTACCCTTGGTTTTTGTTCATTCAGATCTATCAAGAAGATTTTTCCTGGTTCATTTGGTGCAAAGTTTGGCAGGCCTGGATATTTTAATCCCTTTAAAAAATAAAGAATAAGTATGCACACATATACATATTAAAACAATATTTTCATATGGAATTTAAAATCTCAAAGCCAAATAAAAATGTTTGAAGTTGTATATTTCATTTAGATTTCTGGGCTTTTTCACTCTGTCAGCTGTTTCCATGATCTGATCTGGGGCATTACCGATGTCATCTAGACATTGGCTATGAACACAGAAAGAAACATATTAAAGATAGGAAGAGTTTTTAATTTAGAGAGAAGGAGTTAAGCCAAAAAATATAATGAAAGGGACTAAGCTATGTTACTTTGTATGAATCCCTTCACCTGCCTGTACCTCACATTCCTCGTCTATAAAATGAAGAAATTCAATATATGATTGCAAGATTATTTCCAGTCCTAGTATTCTATAACTAACCTTCCTCAAAGCAGAGAGGAGGGGTGTACAGTTTAATTGCATTGTTTCCATCCCTACATTGATTATATCATGTAGTGGCAAACAGTAGAGCTGGCTAAGATTTAACGTAAGGATACCAGTCTTACAGAGTTGATTATTTTTCACCTATTTTGTTCCTATAGGTATGTCTGAAAATTCTGACATGAATGCTTTACTCAAATATCACAAAAAGTTTATTCCAGTAACTTGGACAGTGGTCCTTTCTACTATTAGGATCAGGTATCTATCAATCAACAATAGGCATCCTGAAGGTATAGAGCCTTTGCTGCATCTGAGTCCACTGTGACAAATCTTGGGGTTGGTTTATTCTACACCAGTTACAAAACAGTCTACTTCCTCTCCGTGTCCCCGGATATATATCAATATCAACAACTTTGTATCTTCTCTGCTAATTTAATCTTCTCTCTTTCCTACTTCGCTTTGTCTTTCTGCCTCTCTCCCTGTCCCTGTCCCTTCTTTACACACGTACACATACACTTATAATACTATCCTTCCACTGCTCCCCCTTGGGGTAGCCAATCTTTTCTGAAAAACCCCAGCTATATCTTCAAATTTCTTTTTTAGAACAGTCCTTCTATGCCCAAATCGTATGCCCCATTGTTGCCTGGGGGAAACCTGGCTTTTCCCAGATAACACTAGCACTACTGAAGCTCATCAGAGGAGGCACTATTCCCTCCTTATTCTCAAGTCAGCACATCTGGAGAAGGGATTGGCATGTCCCTAGCCACAAACTTCTGCTTCCAGACCATAACCCTATCATCATCAATAGGCACACCCTTTGCTTTCTTATCACATTCTGCACCAACTCCCTTTGCCTTGGTCTAGCTCTTACATAGGGCAAGTCTAAAGTCAGGCTGAAAAACTCCACTCAGTCACCACCCCAACTTCAGCCAGACATTTAGTACTCTTTATTGATTGTTTTGCTCACGACGATAGGCAATCTATTAGATTTTCTCATGTCTCCCTTTTAAATTTTTTCATTATCTTCTAGAGTAGGGGTCCCCAACCCCTGCAGGAGGTAAGCAGCAGGTGAGTGCGCATTACTGCTTGACCTCCACCTTCTGTTAGATTAGCAGTGGCATTAGATTCTCATAGGAGTGAGAACCCTATTGTGAACTGAGCTTGCCATGGATCAAAGTTGGATGCTCCTTATGAGAATCTCATAACTGATGATCTGAGCTAGAACAGTTTTATCCTGACCATTCCCCACTCCCTCTTCACAGTCCATGGAAAAAAATGTCTTACATGAAACTGGTCCCTAGTGCCAAAAAAGTTGGGAATCACTGTTCTACAGCCCATACTTTCTTCCTCTTTATTATGAATGAATGACTTTACTTACAACTTCTCTGAAAAGATGATGTCATTTAACATGAATTTCCTATAATTCTTTCCTTTCTGTCCCAGTAATTCTTCTTCAGTTTTACTCATTCTCTTGCTTTATTCCTCTTTTCTCAAGGAAGGAGTGTCCCTCCTCCATTCTTAGGTTAAATCCTTTACCTGCTTTCTTGGTTCCCTGTTCTCTAGGATCTGTCTCTAGAGATTACACCCTCTTTCTCTTGCTTTACCATTCATTTTTCACTAACAGCTTCTTCTCTGGCCTGAAAAATTACAAGTTTTTCCTTTCTTTAAATAAATATTATCCTAGCTTTACTGCCTCTTCATATATGCATTTATCTCTCTTCCCCTCACCATCAAATTCTTAGAAACATCACCTGATCTTGTTGCCTAATGTGAATTGCTCCAATTCTCAATTCCCTGAAGTTAGTAGTCTACTCCTACCAGTTTGTAGAAATACCCTTATAATGATCATATAAATGGTGTCCCAGTTATTTATTTTGATAACTTTTCTACCTTTGTGGCATTTGACACTACAGTAAATCTCCTTCTTTCTTGTAGAAAAGTTAAAAGTGGAATTTCCAGATAGAAGTCCTGCTCCTCTTCCTGGCTCTTGAATTTCTGCCTCCTTCTGTCCTCAACCATTCCTCCTCCTTTCTCACTCTATACACTTTCCTTGCAAATCTTATGCATAAAGATTCAGATATTTCCTTTATACCAAGCACTTTCAAGTCTGCACGTTTATCTATAACATTTCTCTGTAGCTCTAGCTTGCATTCCCAACTTCCTCCCAAAGAGCAGCTCAAAATCAACTAGTCAAAAACAAAATCAAAATTCTGCCCTCAAATCCATCCTCTCATTTATATCTATTCTCCTTAGCAAAGAACATTGCTATGCTCCCCAACATTGGACCATAAAATTCAATTTTCAATCCACTCTTTCTCCTATAGCCAATTTTTCACCCAGCTCAATGACTCAGATAATATAGCACTGGAGGAAAAAATTATACATATATGTTAAAAATTTAAAAATATAATACTTATATATGTTATATATAATATATAATTATATGTTATATATAATAGATAATTATATATTATTAATATATAATTAATTCCTGTATAGCAATTATATATATAAACACATATTTAATTATTATATGCTTTTAATTTTTTAACATATATGTATGGTAATATACATATATGCATCAGGGGCATCTAATCTCACATCCTTCCTTTCACATGAGGGAAATGAGGCCTAGAAAAGTGATTTGCCTAAATTACTCAGATCATTTATTGTTCAGCTTCTCTCTGCCATACATACAGAAAGGTTTGGAAGTAGACAATATCGCTCAGGAAAATAGCTCAAGGCAGAACACAATGACAAGTACCTTGGTAGCTTGGGAGAAGGTGGAGCACAGTCAGCTAGCGGAAAGACTGGTTGTTAAAAGAAATAAAATAATCTGATAGAGAGGCAAGGGTGGGGCACTGCAAACAAGCTTGATCTAAATTAAGTCTGATGATCAAAGAAACACTTCTGATAAATGGCTTCACACTCACCTAGTTTTCTATTTAAAGCAGTTAGGTAGGAGTTTGTGGCAGCAAACCAACTGTGTGCTGGTGACTGCAAGCAATTCTTTTCATGCCATTCACTGGTAAAAATGGGGAAAATCATCATCTAGACATGCAGGAATCTTATTTTTCCCAACAAACCACAGGTATATGTGGACAATCACTGAACTCTTCTACTATCCTCATCCATCAGCACATGCATTCAGTAAATATTCTAGGATTTACATATGCCTCGTAGCATGTTAGGTACTGGGCACAACAATGCATGCTCCAAAGTCCTAAGATCAAGGATCTTGAAATCTAGAGTAAGCATATCAGTATGGTGTGGTGTATAATAGCCTAAACTCAGGGGATGTGAGGGAATATTAAAGAGGCACCTCGCCCCACAAGAGAGTGCCAGGGAAGACTCTCCTGAGGAAGTAAAGTGCCACCACAATGAACCCTTACAAAGAAATGGGAGTTAACTGGCAAAGCGTGAAGAAGGAGCCAAAGAGAAGCATGTCAAGTCCCAAGGCAGGAAAAAAAAATACCCTGTTTGCAATCCCTAAATAGACTAGAAATATCTACTGCACAGAATTACTCTCTAAATCAGTAACTTTCAAACATCTTCTAAGATGGCAAGAAAGAGTGAAAGGAGAAACCAAAAGAACAAGGTCCTGAATTTATTATAGTGCAGAAGGATTAGAAACAAGCAAAGAACATCATCCTTATCCTATAAGTATGAGTAGTTTGTTCATTTACAGAGGGAGATCCATTATTTAGAACTTTATGTTAACATTTCTCATAAAATTATTTGTGATGAAAATATATACTTCCAGTATAGCAATGATTCAGAACTTTTAGTTCCAGTGAAAATTTTTTTAAAAACCATACTACTTCACAGGAAGTAGAAAGGACAAATACTACTTCACAACAGCAAAGAAATCTTCTGGCTATAGAATCGTTACTTTTAGTGGTTGTATTTGGCATAATATTGAAAATCTAAACCGACAATAGAAAATTTATGTCAACAAGGAAAAAGCTTTTCTAGAACATTTTGTTTTATCCTTGATTTTGAAGCAAACATAAAGAAATAAAATCATGCCCACACAGACTAGCACCAGTACCAGCAGTGGCACCAGCCGCAGTTTAAGGTCCAAATGAGAGCCCCACTGTACTCTACTGTGTGTACTTATGAATTTATAACTTAAGGCCATGGTTACTATATGCACTCCTTTTTTGGTCAAAAATATTTAGATTCAAAATTCATCTTCTTTGGTGGTATTTTATTGTCCTAAATGGAATATTAGGCATCCAATTCCAGCAATCAGAATTCACATTGAAAATGTGGTAAATACAGTTTTTCAAAATTATATCTCCATTCCAAAGTGCAGCTGATTTAACAAATATTAATACATGAAAAATTTCAACCTATCATAAGTACACTTTTTTTTTGTATGTTTACCAAAATGCTGTCCCTGGCATAACTTCTTGATTATTCCTGTGAAGATAGTATTGGGAATAAAATGCAGTCTCTTCTCTACCTCTCTTTGAAAGACTAGTTAATAATGGCAGGGAACTCAAGATGGAAAGTGCTTGGAGTTTTAAATCGAGTAACATGGTTAACATTCGATCTACTAACATTTACAGAGCTCCAAATACAGGCAGGCATGGTGACAAGAATACCAGTTAGTGAGAAGATGACTACCAGAAACGGAAACCCAGTCAAATAGGGCAATGATGAGAGTAGACAGCAATTGGACAGATCTGGAGACTAGCGTAGGAACTGAATGGAAATCAATACATATTTATCAAGACCCTACTGAGTATGCCACTAACCACAGGGAGTTGCCCACCATGAGGCAGTCAAAGCTGGGCATTCCTGTCGTGTTCTAATTAGCCCTCCAGAATCCTGTTTTGGCTTTTTTAGTTGACTGGTTTACTCAGAGGTGGGTTGAGAGTGTAGGGATCCATCTGGCAGCTCCAGTGGACAACATTGATGCACTGTCTATAGAGCTATTGACATAAGCATCAGAGCAGCATGGAAAATACTCACACTGGAGATAAAAGCCAGCCCACTTGGAAGTATATCAATGTCTTCAGAGCCATTTTCTGCAAAAGAAGGGTAGAATCAGAAAAAATGCATATATGAAGGCTTAAAAAATATACCTCACAGTCCAAACTATGAACATATTTTGGAAACTTCTTTTGGAAATCGTTGACTTTTTCAACCATTTACTTGGGAAACTATATTAACTTTCAGGAATCTCACAGGCATGCTACTCTACAGTAAAACTGGAGTCAGACTCCTCAAATACTGAATCCTTTTTTAGAACCCCATTTTCAGGAGGAAAAGGCAAATAACTAGAAAATAAACTCTTATCCTAGACTTACTCTTTAAGTAATTTCCAGGGCATGTCCTGAGAGATTCAGCTTTATTCCCCATAGAAGGCTGGTCTATAGACTGAGTGATAAAATCTGGAAAGTCATAATGTTGAACATCTTTTATTACAGGCCTCTCTGCCAAATACTCCTCCTCCAACATGAAGCCTAAAACTCTATCATTATGCAATCATATTGGGAAATTATTGAGTAATGCACTACTGAGTATATATGAATATGAAAGATTGCTAAGTATAAATTAATAGGAAAGAGTTTAGTCAGATCATTTTCTCATTGAGAGCTAGTTTTCAGCATTTTTTTTTCCTACGGAAAGAGACATATAATAAGTTTTGACTGGGAACAAGATGAAAAATGGGTTGTCACAGAACACAGATCTACATATGATGTGGTTCCAAGTAGACAGAAATAAGAATGAAGGCAATGGTTATTTAGTATGGCAAACTATGTTCTACAAATATGTCAGAACCAATATGTACCACAGCCACATGCACTTAAAATGTGATGTTCAGACTCTTTCAGCAAGAAGTAAAGTCTATATTCTCTCCTGTTGAAGCTAGGAAGAACTTTGTAACTGCCTTAACAAACAGAATAAGATGAATACAGTGCCACATAACATCCAAGGCTAAGTCTTAGTCATAGCTACCACTGGCTCTCTCTCTCTCTATTTCTTAAGACATGCACCTTGGGAACTCTGGATCAAAATGTAAAAAGTCTGGCTATTTTAAAGCTACAGAGGAAAGAGTACAGAGGCATTACCCAAAGTGGAAAGAGTCAGCTCCTTTGGTTCAGGCCATAGTAGCTGAAGATGACTTCAGTTCCCAGCCTGTGAGTCACTCTAGCTGATGTAAATGAAACAGAGGAGACTGCCTACACTGTGCCCTGCCAAAAGTGCACATTCTTGAGCAATGGCGGTTAAGTCACTACGTTTTGGGGTGGTTTGGGACACAGTCATAGTAATTGGAACATGTGCAGAAATGGTTACCTAGGGTAGTGGGTTACTACAGTGTCAAAAGGCAACAGGGGGAAGTATAGGGGAAAATATGAAAAAGAAAATTACAGCAAAGTCAAAAATGATGCAAATTGAAATCAACAAAATGGTGAACAACAGGCACTTAGCAGTTGAGAAAGATTTTATTTTATTATTTTATACTGAAGGTCAAAAGTAATCCCCAACTGGAAATATGAAAACTAAGCAGAACTTCCCATTTCCTAAGCATTCCAGTTAATCAGGGTTTACCCATATGGTACCTTGATAGCTATTTCCACATGAAATGACATAGACATTGGAAGAATTCAGCAAACTGAATAAAGCCATTTTAGAAATTGCATTGAATACTGGTTGGTTACTTTTCTGACATTTCTCCTGCCTTTCTGCACTCCCTTCTTGGTGTCCTTGTACCTTAGTCTTATTCCCATCTCTGTCCTATAGAGGAGTATTTTCCAGGCTCTGTCTGACCTTGGCTGTTTCTCACGGCAGAGCATACATTTTACCCACATGATGCACTCTAGTCCCACATGGATCATAGCAGATGGCTTCTCTCCAATCTCTAATCAATTCTAAGGCTTTTTTCCAGGTTCCAGACCTTTGTATTAAACAGTATGTTGGACATTTCTACCTGAGTCTTTTATTTCTCATATTCCACAGATTCCAAACTGATCTGAAATATTTCTCCCTCGAATCTGCTCCATTTTCTGTATTTCTATTTCAATGAATAGTGCTACCATTCCCCAAACACCCAAAGCAGGAAGCCTGGAGTTAACTCTGATGCCTTCCTTTTCCTTAATTTCCAAATCCAACTGATCACCAGTCATTAAAGCTCTAGAACTTCCTCTTGGATTTCTACAATAGCTTCCCAATAATTCAACTTTTCTTCCCTGAACCCATTCTCTGCATTGCTGATAGTCATATTTTAAAATTTAAAGTTGACCTTGTTACCCCCTGCTTAAAACCTCGCAGAGGCCCATTAGGTCTGGTAGTATAAATCCTAAGCTCTTTGGTCTAGGTCCCAAACATCTTGGCTCCAGTCTCAGTTCTTGTGGCCCCACTCTCTATTCTACATTGCAGCTGTGCTGTGGTACTTACTACTGTGCTTTGAGTAGTTTGCAACATGGGCCACACTCATTCACTGGCATGTCTGTGCATATGTTGCTCTCTCCTTGCAACATTCAGGCCTTTCCCATCCCGACCCCACCTCTACTTGGCCAAGGCCACAGGCTCTTGGAGTTTTGGGACCACCTTCTCAACATATCCACACTTTCCTGGTCTTAGCATCCATTTTATATATTAATATGATCACTTGTGACTATGGCCACCATGATCTTTTTCAGACTGGGCTGCACCCCTCCGTTTACTTGTTGATTTCCTACTAGATGGTCTGCTTTCTGGCAAGGACTGGGTTTTATTCAGCGTTGTATCCTTATACCCAACATAATACCTGCCTTTTCACCGTAGAAGCTCTTAATAAAGCTGGCTGGTTCAATAAAGAAATACATACATTTTGTTTTTTGAACTTTGTCTTGTATTGAGGAAAAACTATTGAAAAATGGGTGATGATTTCCAAGTCCAAGATATCTGAATCGTGTTTGGCTCCTCTTCTCTTTCAAACAGCATTTTACATATCTCCTCTGACAGCATAAACTTACTTCAATAACTCACCTAAAACAGAGTGGGTGTTTTTAAGACGTGTTGTGCCTGTCTTTATTTACTTGCTCCATCCAGAGCATGGGAAAGCTGATGCTTTGCACTCAGCAATGGAAAAGAATTACCATACAAGTTTGCACAGAATCTCTACCCCTCCTTTCCACCTACACTGCACCTGCAGGACAGGCCCCATGAATGTCAGGAACAATGACACCTGCAGGAGCAAAAGCCCCAGAATACCTTCCTCTAAGACTTTTCCACACATTTATTAGCCTGTGCACAACTATCATTAAAACCCCACTGCTAAGTCTAAAATCAGTCTTATGAATAGGTGCCTACTGCTTCTTAGACTGTCAACTCTACTACTATTTGGCATAACTTCATTTCTTTACTCTTTTCTTAATTTCTCCAATCATCCCCTACAGGAACTCTGAGAAAGGGTCATATCAAAATATTACTATCAGTTAATTTCATCATCATCACTTCATATCTTGGAAAGAAGTTTCTGACAGCCAGCTAAGAAAACACATGGAACCTACTATGAAGTAGAAGCCTATCTTGGAGACATGGGAAGCTATAGAATGGAAAGGAGTGGAAGGGAAAATAGGAAGGCATTAAATACACAGGTCGCCTACTCGATAATCCTGCCCAGTGAAAGCCCTACTAAAGTATTCATATTTCAAGTATAGCTTTGATTAGATGCCAAGGGCAGCCAGGTAACGTCCTGGTTAAAACAATCCTTGACCATCAAAGCCTTGGAAAAAAAGATCAACGTCATACAAAAAGATCTATGAGATATGATTTCTGGAGAAAGATATATTTCACCTTTCAACTTTTCTTCCGAGAAAAAATGCTAGGGAGGAAAAACAAAATAAGAGTTTCTTCCACCAATAAAATAAACCTCAAAAGTCTGGATCTTGAAAACACAAATAAAAATTTTTCTCCAGCTCTGTTACAGCCTACCATACCCTACCTAAAATCCTTCAGTGGCTGGCTTTTCATGGCTTTATAAAACCTTCTACTCATCAACTAGTTGTGACTTGTGAGAATTATCTTATAGTTATCTGAATTTAAATATCTAGCCTGCCTTGTTTTAATTTACCTATATCTTGTAATATTTCAGCTGTTTGCACCTCAGATTTTCTGTTTTCTGCTGTTGTAAAACTTTACTGGAGCTTTCCATAATAAAAATGTGTTGTCAGCAGATAAGAAAGGTAGCATTACACAACAGAGAGTACAAAGGTATGGAAGGAAACAGTGTTGGCTTATGATCTAATCCCATTACCCCCTAGTTCCAGACCGCTGGGCAAGCAACTTAATTCTTCTGTAGGTCAATTTCCTAATCTCCAAAGCACAGATAGCAGCACCCACTTTACAAATTGGTTATGAGGATGATGTAGATGTTTGTAAAGGGTGCTTATAGACACCAGGCCTTTGATAAACCAGCGTTTTCAAAAGATATAATATATCAGTATTGTCCTACTGGCAAATGATCCATCATTAGTCTAACTTGTTTAGTTCACCAAACATACGCCAAAAGACATGAGAAGTAACATGGCATTTTTTTTCTTCTGCCCCTAGCCTGCTTCTATTTAAATCATTTTCTTCAAAATATTTGGGTAATCAGAACATTGACCTAAGACTTACAATATTAACTCTAATTTTATGTTCTTGAATCTAGTTGAGTGATACAATTCAAGAGTCAGGCTAGACCTTACCAATCATCTAGTCTAATTATACCTCTGAATTACTTGCAGGCTTACATCTTTTGAGACTCATTTGTATAGTGAATATGAATACTACTATACTACAAAACAGTAAACAAATGAGTCAATGTCACATTTCCTTATTTTTAACATTAAATTGCTTTGATACCCCATTCCACTAAGTTGATGGGAAATCCAATCTGAGTCATTACTGGGTTTCTCTGTTAGAGTTATTAAATCATTTTAGGTGGTGGGTTCTAAAACTAAGCAGAACGTTTTGGAAAGGCCATCTGGCATTCATTCTACACTATGTATCATGAAATTATTCATTGCCAAAGTTATTGGTCCCTTTAATTTAGACAGTTCTGCTACTTCCATGTCATGCAATGACACAAGGTCTTTGCCTAAGATGGAACACAGGGTCCAGCATCCCTAAAGATACCTTGACACAATTCCTTCTGAGGTCATGCTCCTCCCTCAGGCTGCTATCAGGCAGTGGGGTAGGGGTCCCTGTTATTCAAAGATATCCACATATTCATATCCTTTCTCCATCAGAATCCCTTGAAGGGGCTCAGGAAAAACAAGTCAGGAAAGGTTTCTTCAGTTTCTTCTGCTTTCCTGCTGCTAGCACAAACCATGTCTAAGACTAGGGAGTCAAGTCAGATTACTTTATTTTTTAGGAATTGAGAGGCCAAAAAGGGAGAAAACCCAAATCAAAAGGGCACTTTTTCTATATTTTCAAATATAGCAATAAAACAGAAAATCATATCACAAAATAAGCTATCCCATCACATTCTAATAAATAAGTCACAGCCTCTGACCCTAGGGAGTTTACAATCTGATAGCGAAAGAGAGAACACTGCTAGCTATAATATAAGGCATGTGGCAGGTGTCATAAGTGAACTGGAGCTTCAGAGTGCTGTCAGAGTTCAGAGGAAGGAGATGAATTTGCAGCTGATTTCAGTAAGCAGAGACAGAAGAATCAGTAAGTTTGGAGAGAATTTCATAAGCAAAGGTGAGAAAGTGAAAGAACATACTCCCAGAACAGGAAACACAATCTAGCCTGATTTGATTTTACTTTTCTTTCTTCCCGTCTCTTCCCTTCCCTTCCCTTCCCTTCCCTTCCCTTCCCTTCCCTTCCCTCCCCTCCCCTCCCCTCCCCTTTTTCCTTTCCTTTCCTTTTCTTTCCTTTCCTTTCCCTCCCTCCCTCCCTCCCTCCCTTCCTTCCTTCCTTTCTTTCATCTTTTTTTTGAGATTGGGTCTCTCTCTGTTACACAGGCTGGAGTGCAATGCCGTGATCTTGGCTCACTGCAACCTCCACTTCCCGGGTTCAAGCAATTCTCCTGACTCAGCCTCCCGAATAACTGGGACTACAGGCATGCCCCACCACACCCAGCTAATTTTCGTATTTTTTAGTAGAGATGGGGTTTCACCATGTTGGCCAGGATGGTCTCGACCTCTTAACCTCCTGATCTGCCTGCCTCGGCCTCCCAATGTGCTGGGATTACAGGCGTGAGCCACCGCACCTGGCCAATTTTACTTTTCTGTTAGCAATGTCAGGAAGAATTGGAGGTGGGGCGCCCAAATAAGCCGTATGGCATTAACTAGCAGGTGAGATTAGCCTACGTCTCACACAGAAGCATGAGGGATAAGCAGGGAACAATGGTTCCTGGATTTTGAATTGAATCTTTTGAGAATGTGGGTATCATACATAGGAAAAGTGTAAAAGCAGAGCTGATTGTGGGTGGATGAAAGAGAAAAAGACAGAAATGTAAAGTAGATTACAGCTTAGGGAGAGTTTGAGGTGAGCTACCCTTTAACTGACTAACAAAGAAGGGCTGCAGTTTGAGAGGGTAGGGACTGGGTTGTGGATTTTTTATTAATTTTTTAAAAGAAGGTATGTAGGCTGTGAGGTTCTTGAGGGGAAGAGCTAAGTCATATTACTCTTAGTACTTGTACATAAATTTTGAAAAAAATAACACTGGAAGCCAGGAATGACAACAAGGAAAGGGAGGGAGGAAGGAAAGAAGGAAGTTAAAAGAAAAAAAAGAAAGGTAACAGAGGATAAAGAGGAGAATGAAATATCACAGACAGGAAAGGAGAAGCATTCAGTGAGGGGACAAGCAGGGTGTGGTCAATGACATTCTTTAAGTAATGCAGAGAAAGGTCCGTAAGGAAATGGGCTGAGAAAAAGCCACAAATGATGTCATGTAGGACACCCCTAGAGGCCTTGCATGGGGCAGAGTGGACTGGGCAGATGTCCCACTGGGAAAGTCTAAGTAGTGACATGTAATTAAATGAGTTGGCAGGGGTCAGTCAGCTGAATGGTGACCAAGAAACTGTGCTGGCTCCTCTTGGTACTGTCACATACGTACCAATTTCCTCAATAAGGTGGCAGTTTTCAAGTTCTACTGACTCCACTTCTCGAGAGGCATTGCTCCTTTCTCTGTAGAAGATAAAACCCAACCCTAGAAGTCAAGGCGCAGCATTCAAAATGTACGTTTAAACATGGACTCCAATCATCTTCGTGTTGGTTAACTATCTTCATCAGAATTTATAAATGGCATAACAAGTAAGTAGGCACCTCCTTTTATGTTTATGTATATAATGTAGACACTATTTGGGTATTATACCTATATCAGCTAACCTTACCCAATTATTGCTGAAAAACTATAATGTGATTCTACATAGAAAACATTCTGCTGCCCAAATAAAAGACACTCTTTAATAGTATGGGTAATCGAACAATGTTAATTTAAATGTACAAAATAGCACTACTTAATTTTCCAAAGTATTGTCTATTATAAATCTGTACTTTTTCCCCTTAATATAATCTTGTCCTTTGAACTTCTCCTTCCAAACTGCTTTCCCAAAATTCAGCAGGGCCCCCCTAATAGTCAAACTCTGTCACTTTTGCTTTAATTGTTAAATTTTATGCTGACTTACTTTGCAAGTAGGTAAATTCATTAAACCAACTACAATTTAAACAATTGGCCGATTTATCTTTTAATACAGTTTTCTTGTTTCTGTAGTGAAATGGAATGTTTCCATATTCTTCTAAATATCAGGGATAATTTAAAATTTTTATTAAAGTATAACCAGGAAGACTAAATACTTATCTTACAGACATTTGTTTTTTAAAAAATACCCCTTAGGCCTACTTTATTATTATTATTATTATTATTATTATTTTATGATTCTCTCATGTGGTTGCACTGGGAGCAAATGTAACAATAAAATTCTCAAACCGAAGTGGAAAGTATTACTAATAGGCACCAGCCGCCTCAACAGATTCTAGGCGTGATCCTCTGAAAAAGACCAGCTTCTACTAAGAGAAGTACATAAACACTTGAAGACAACTGAAAGCAAGCAGAGGCTTTCGATCCACTCATGAATGTATATTACCACTTAAAGGTTCTTCTTTCTAGCCCAGTATTGACTTTTCCTGAGACATTTCTAGGCTGGCTATTACCATTGTATCTTCCACTTCAAAAGGTCAAATGCCTACAAAATGCCGGTTGCCGCCTGCAGGTTTCAGCAGGTTTGCCCTGCTGTCTGGCCAGCTCTTTAAAACCAGGATGGGTTCCATAACCCAGCATAGTCTGTGTTTAGCTAGACCTGGGCAATGTCTCAGCCATAAATATTCCACTGGTAGCCTGATTCTCTCTCCCAAGTCCAAGTTTCCGATGGACGTTCTTTTTTCCCCAGCAGAATGTTGAGGCCGACCTGGGAAAGGGGGTCATCACGTTCTCAAAGTAAAAAGGGGTCATGACTTTCAGAAAGTAAAGCGGGTCGGGGGCGGTCATAACCTTCAAAAAATAAATGGGAGTATTCCTGCTTGGCAGTTTTTCGAAACGCAAAGTGAGTCTCAACCGGCAGTTTGCTGGGTGCGATGGAGGAGTGAGGTTCCAAAGCTGTTCTTTCCTACCCGCTAGGAAGGGGGCGCACGGCAGCTCCTGATCTCACTTGGAAGAGGAGAGAAAGAGAAGAGGACGCCAAGATGCCACTCACCTAAACTCCAGGAACCTTTCCCCGACCAAGGACAGGCCGACCCCCAGCAGGACCAGCGCCACGAGCTTCCCCATGGTCTCGGGGTGCCTAGCGACGACGAGCGGCGCGCAGAGCTCCTGGGGGCACTGCAGCAGTTCAGCCTCGCCTACCGAGTGGGGCCCGCTCGGCCCCGCCCTCCGGCGCCTCCGCTCTCCGGTGAGCGGCCTGGGTGCAGCCGCAGGACGACGACGAGTCCCGCCCCGCCCCGCCCCGCCGCGCCGCCGAAGGGTCGGTAAGGGCTGGGAGCCCCAGTTCAGGGCCGGAACTCCGGACTTCTGCAAGGCAAGGCGTGAGGTGACACTGAATTGCTCCCGAGACACTGGAAGGGCGAAAGTAATGGAAGAGAAGAGCTTTAACTCATCTTTTCCAAGATTTGGGGCACAGGAACCTGCCTCCTGACCTTCATGCCCTACCTCGGAGTGTGCGGCCCAGATGGACTTGTGAATATCCGTGTCTATCCTCATAGTTAACGAGAGAAGGAAACATCAGGAGAAGAGAAGAAAAAGACATAGGAAACGGGAAGAGGAGCAGAGAGGCAAGGAAGGGGAAGGTCGTTTCCTTGGCAGGTTAGGCCCTCTTTCTTCCAGGTCGTGAGTTCCTGCCAGGCAGAAAAAGCCCTTTCCCCTCTCCTGATGAAGACCAGGTTGGAGGGAGAGGAACTGAAAATGGGGGAAAACTTGAGGAGTTGGGGGAAAACTTGAGGAGTTTGGGCAAAGGAGCATCTTTAAGCATGATCTATTTTTATTTACATACAGAAAGAAATATTCGTTCTGTTGGGTTCGACCAAATAAACTATTTTGTCAGAGCAAGATTTGCCCGACCTAGGGATATTAAGAAAAGAAAATGTGGTCCCTGACCTATGGTATACATGATTCTGGTATGACAACATAATTACAGGATGATAATGAAGCCCACTGCTTATGCAGTAATGACTGACTGTGTGCTTTGCCTGTGCTTACACCTTTACCTATGTTAATGCATTTAATTCTCAACACAACCTCTGGGGTGGGGGTAACCTTACCCCAATTTTACAGGTGAGAAACCTGCAGCACAGAGTGATTATGTGGCTTGCTGTAGGTCACACACCTGTCAAGCAGCAGACTCCAAAATCTGGGCCCTTAACAGCTGCCTCTACCATGCTACCTCTAGGAAAGCTATGGAAGAGGGTTGTATTAAAAGGACAGTGTAACGTCTTGAACTGTATAGATAAGAGTTCTTTTAAGATGACTAATGTTAAAAGAGTGCAAGCAGAGGAAGAATCGAATGCTGCTGTCCTGAGGACTCAGAAGGGTTCACAGAGCTGAGGGGCCTGGGATGTGGTGCAGACAAGCATGCAGGGTTTGGGAGTCAGTCTGCCTGGGTTTGGATCCAGCTTGGATAAAGTACTCAGTTTCCTTAAGCTACAGATTCCTCTTCTGTAAAAGAGCATCCACCTTATAGAGCTTCAAATTAAACGTGATAATGAGTGTCAAGTGCTCTGCACTGTGCTTGATACGTTTTATGAAGTTAGTAAAGATTAACCACTAATTAATCCTGAACTTTGCCTGAGATTGTAGGCTCCTGTAAGACTGCATCCTATTGATCACTGGGTTTTTCCGTGCCATCCATAGACTTTGTGCTTAATAAGAGCTCAATAAATATGATTAGATGGATGGATGTAAAATACGGACTTGGGAGAAGGAAAAATTAGAAGAATAAAAATAAATGGAGTGGATAATGAAATAATAATAGTCATATTTTGAGCTCAGTGTTTGCATGCCTTGTCACATTACTTCTTGTTAACGTTGCTTTACAAAGAAGTAAAGTGAATTGCTTGCTGTAAGTTTGATGGGATTAAAAAGGAAATTGAAGCTTAAAGAGATAAAATAATAATTCACTTAAGGTTACATAACTAAGAAGTGTCAGAGCCTTCATCTGGACTCAGATCAGGTGACTCTAGAGCTCATGTTCTTTATCACTGTGTTTGCAGCATAGCATGAAGAAGGGGGTAAGGAAAGCAGCACATTCTTGGGCAATTGATTGAAGTTCTGTGTTAGCTATAGTTTGTTTAAAAATTCTTCGCTTTAGGCAGAGGAGTCTGTGTGGGTGGGTGTACCTTAACTTAAACCCTAGAAGTGGTTAATTTTTTTTTGAATACCATAATCAGTAATTCAAATCCCCAGCATGATAAATTAGCATTAAAGAATTCCAAACTTTGGAGGCCTCTGTATTGAGCGTCACCATCTAAATCTTCTCTTAGCAATATGCCAAATTGATTAGTTCTCAAGAGCTAATGTTGACCAAATATAATGGTATACATTTAAACAGTAAGTAACACAATATGTTTATAGAGCTAGGGAGTCCAACACTATTGATAATCAAAATGCCATTAAGGGAGATGCAGATGCTTTTACTGTACGACACTCTGATGTTTGAAATTTTCAAACCTTGTATCTTGATCATGTTTACAATTGCTGTGTTTTTAATTTAAAAAGATCGTTTGCATCAGTGAATCTTGCAAAGAAAAAAAGGTAGTGATAGAGAAAAAAGCAACAAATCTAAAGAGATTACGATTATATTGCAATAAAGCTGTTTTTTAAAGATAGGATATGGATTTTAGAACATTAGGAAACATTGTCCTAAGCCACAGAAACCACTGTTTAAAACCTGGGTATGACTACCTGTCATTAATGTGTCTTGTGCTGCTCAGGAGAGAAAAAAGATAGAGGACCAGAGATTTTATTATTTAGATAATTTATTATTTTAAATTTATATGTATTGAAGTATGAAATATTTAGGTATATCTGAATTTAAATAAAATTCTCAATTTCATTCTGAAGATGCAACTAAGAATGAAGTCAGGTAGTGAAAGTCTGATACATTGTTTGGTGACTTCCTGCAAAGCACCATGTGGAAGGTGCTCCCCCCAACCTCCCCCCATCCCCCCCAACCCTGAACAGAATCTTGGAGTAAAAAGATTAACACATACACACCTGTAAGACCTATATTCACCTCATGGGTCATATCCCAATTACAGTTTCAGTTGTTTTCAATTGTTCAGTTCAGTATAAGATCAGAGAGAGATCACCATAAATAAGTGCACAATATACTAAGAGTTTGATAGAATTCCTCATGGCCTAGAGAGGCTAAAAATCAGAGATTATTTACTTTTTTATTTCTAAGATAAATAATCATGTGCTTATTAACATACATACGCTTTTGTCCAAATAAAAAAATTGTTTTAAATACTTGCATGCTTTATTCAAAATACACTGTGAGCATGTCTCTTCTAATATTCTGTAGTATCATTTGAAGTGACTATTTACCTTATAGAGGTGCCCTGATTTTGTTTTTAAAAATAAATATCCTCTGTGAAACACACTATCAAGAGAATGAGAAGACAAGCCACAGACTGGGAGAAAATATTTGCAAAAGACATATGTAACAGAAAATTGTTATTTAAAATACTCAAAACCCTCTTAAAACTTAACATTAAGAAAACGAAAAAAGATTTTTAAATGGGCCAATGGCATAAATAGGCACCTCATCAGAGAAGACATACAGATAGCAAACAAGCATAATAATGCTCAACATTATATGTCATCAGGGAACTGCAAATCAAAACGAGATACCACCTCACAATAGTATAATCTAAAACATTGACACCAAATGCTGGCCAGGGTGTGGAGTAATAGGAACTCTCATTCACTATTTGGTGCAAATGCAAAACAGTGTAACCACTTGGAATAGTTTGGCAGTTTCTTTCAAAATTAAACATACTCCTACCATATGATCTAGCAAATTGTACTCCCCAGTATTTTTTGAGTGGGGAGTGAAAGAGTACAGGTGTAGAGTTGTTACACAGGAATACTGCATGATGCTGAGGTTTAGGATATGGATGGTCTTGTCACCCAAGTGACAAGCATAGTACCCAGTAGTTTTTCAGCCTGTACCCTCATTCTCCCTCCCATCTAGTGGTCCCCAATGTCTGTTCTCATCTTTGTCTGTGTGTATTTAATGTTTACCTTCCACTTATAAGTGAGGACATGCAGCATTTGGTTTTCCGTTTATTTGCTTAGGATGACCTCCTGCTGCATCCATGTTGCTGCAAAGGACATGGTTTTGTCATAAAATTTATAATAAATACAATAGAAACCAAGTTTGTTTTCTGCCTACTGTATTCCAGTACTTTTTATAAATGTAGCTTTCTAGATAGTTATTGATATAATCTACTAAAATCTGAAACATCTGCTTCTTCATTTGGATCCCTAGGTCTGCAATATTTAATCTTGTTATATTCATCTGTGACTTAGCATTTTCCCTTGGACAATGTAAACAAAAAAGATAATTATTTTAGCATGAAATAAATCCAATACAATATGTAACAAACTATTTAAATATATAAATAACAACACAGGCCAAATGGATACAGGCCAAATTTAAGGCTACTACTGCCATTTTACATTAAAAAGCATTAAATGCTTCATCTAAAAGCGGAACACAAACTGGTATCTACAAAACATGAAGAAACTGTATTCATTAGGAAAAAGAGTTAACAAAATACTAGTTCATTCTATGGCAGTAGCATCACGTAGTAGTCAGCGATATAGGCTGTGGCATCAGAAACAGATTGAACATCTGTGAAATGTTAACAGTGATAATAATATCAATACTTACTCCTTCAAGGCTGCAATTAGGATTAAATAACGAATGTAATAATTTTAGGGTATTGTTCGGCATATTGTAATTAACTGACAAATATTTTCATGATGATGATAGGGTAAAAGTATGAGAAGTGAAGTGTTTTGATAAATTACAACAGAAAAATCACATGAAAGTCTCTCTCTTGGGCTTATGATGATTTTGCGGAAGTTACAGTGAGCAGAAAAAACTTTTCCTCTGTGAGCTGGGCACACGGCCCTGATCCTAGCATTGCTGCAGTTTAACCATGTGGTCACAGACAACTGACTTCATCTCTCCTGGCTTTACTTCACCCTTCTGTTCAATGAGGAGATGACATGACTTTCCTGTCCAAACCCTTATTTCGTCTTTGTATCTAAAGTGCACACCCATTAAGGAAGAGAGCTGATGGAAACCTCCTTAGGAACTGGGAATTTGAGTTGCAATACTTGGTTAATTTTTTTCTCTTTCAAA